CATGTCCGCTTGAATAAAGGAGATCACACACACAAGTTGTTCCAAACACACGAGACGTTCCCAGGCTGAAACCGAGTAGCGGGGTTTGAATTTAAATCTGTCAAAATTAGACGTCCTTTGGTCAGTCACTTACTCACACATTTCAGATGCTCACAAGCCGCCCGTGACACCCCGCTGCTCCCTCTGTCTCCGCCTGACGTTTCCTTCCCGGCAAAGTCTGCAGCCAGAGCCCACCCAGGGGATCAGGGAGAAGCAAGACCAAGAACAAGCCTCGAGGCCCGGCCTTGACCCTGACACCCCGTGGGAGACGAGGCCCGGGCTTATTCTCCACAGTGGGCCTGGATGTGGCTGCGTGAAGTCTGCTTGTCTTCCTCCTGGGGCAGCCATTGCCTCGGGCAGGCGTCCCCACTAGGGGGTGGTCAGCTGTGTCTCATGCGACAGGCACCCACTGCCCAGGGCCTTTCCAATTGGTGCCTGATGGCGAGAAATGGGCTTCTGTGGAAAGAGTGGCCCGCGAGCGGCAGGACGACTGTAAGAAGGGGTGCCCGCGGCCAGATGGAGGCAGGAGCTGTGCGGGGACCTCTGGAGTCAGGGCCCCCCGCAGGTGCATGGCCAGGCCAGGAGCCCCAGGGCTGGTCCTAACGGGCTCTGGGTCCAGTCCCAGCTCACATCTCCAGGGGAGACTCCAGATGCTTCTGCAACCCTGTTGGGGCTACCGCGAGTCACCCCCGATTGCAGGGTGGGGGGACCCAGAAGCTGGACCTCATCAACCCTCCAGGCCGCGTGACCACGTGGGTCTCCGCAGGTGCATCCTGAACGTCCACCGGGGGCAGCTGGACCTGAGGCTCACTTCCTTTTCCTCCAGGAGGGGGGCGCCAGACAGGCTACCTCCCCCGAACCCCACTCTTCATTGGCCACTGTTGGGCATCAGAAGGAACCCAAGGGCTGAGGTGGACAAAATGGCTTACTAGAGCCTGCCCTGTCCTGTGGTCATGGGGTCATTGGCGAACCCGGTGGGGAATCCTGAGGAAGGGCCAGGTGGCTAGCGGCAGGTGTAGGACCAGCCGTCCCCACAGGACGTCTGGGGGACAGCTATTTGCCAAACTGGATCTCCTGGTACTTCACTGAGTTACCAGCCCTCACCGGGGACAGAATGTGTGGGTCACCCGGCTGAGGATTTGGCCTGGGTTCTTCACGTTGTGGGTGGTGCATTTAGGCTAGATAACAATCGTGGATGGATAATAGGTTAATTTTTAAAATTAGTGTATATTGAGCATTTGTTATAGGCCAGGCACTGTGAGAAGTACTTCCAAGCAGGAGCTTATAACAACCTAATGAGATCGCGATTATTATCACCATCTTCATCTTATAAATGAGGAATCTGAGGCTCAGAGATGTCAAGTCACTTGCCTAAGGTCTTACCCAGCTGGTAAGTGACAGAATGTAGACTTGAACCCAGGTTTGTCTGACCCAGCGTCTGTGCTCTTAACCACGAGCCAGTCAATTTACTGAAGTGGAAAGGCCTTCGTGATATAGCGTTGAATTTAGAGAAGCAGGTTACCTATGTTAGGTTCAGATGATCCCCTTACTGGGAGAAAAACACATAAATCAGGATAATATTTTTAAAAATCATTCCGTGAGTTTTCTGTTCTTGTACCATTGCTCTGCACCCTCCACGGGCTCTTGCCATTAAGATTTGGCCTTGGCCCAGGGGCCTCTCAGCCCTGGAAGGAGAAGGGCAAATGCCCCTTGGTCAGGGATCCTCACGAGAAAGCCAGGGACGCTGCTGAGCACTCGACCAGGTGCCCCCACCTCAGCTGTCCCCAGTGTCCACAGTGCTGGCACTGAGAAACCCACCTACAACAAAAATCCCCGGTGTTGGGTTTCCAAACAGATTAAACAAACCAAAACCCCTAATGCAAGGCAGAAATCTAGAAGGAAACAATTTTATTGAAGAACCCAGCTGGGCCGAGATGGGTGCTGTCCACCCAGAGCCAGCCGGAGGACTGGAGCATGGAGTTGGCCCGGAAGCTTGGAGCAGAGAGGCCAATCTGAAGCAGGTGGCTCCCCAGCCCACAGGAAGGTGACAGCCCTTCTCTGCATCAGGGAAATGAGGTGGCGGTTGGGAACAGACACCGTGGTGCCCCGGCCCCCACCCAGTGACACCCTGGGAGCTGTGGGGTGAAGCCTGCTGGGCCCGGGGTCCTGGAAGCCCCGACTGCTCTCCCTCCCCAGGTGGTGGAAGGCCACTGGAGAAGGCCAAGTGCAACGTCACTCAACCACGAGAAGGTGCCACTTGTGACCCGAGACGGGCGAATCTCAGAGACACTGGGCTGAACCAGAGACGCCTTCCACAAAAGAACCCGGACCGCACGCTCCGTGGGTCTGAGGCCCCAGATTAGGGCTCTGTCCGTGGTAGAGGGGACAGGGGAGCGGCTGCCTCCAGGGTGGGGCTGGGGAGGGACTGAGGGGACTTTCCAGGGCAAAGTCATGTCCTGCGTCTTGATGGGGGTTTGAGCTACATAGGTGTGAACGACGTCAGTTGTGGACACTTGCGGTCTGCATTTCCTTGCTTGGTGGCCACTCTCAAGGCAGCCCCCTCCGTTCTTGTCCCTGCTGTCCCCCGGGGACCTGTTCATGGTTTGGGTGTGAGGCGTCTCCCCAAGCTCCTGTTCATCAGGAAGGTCCAGGTGCAGAGGCTGGGTCTGAGAGCCGTAACCTCGGCCGTCCATCCTAGTCGGCATGGACTGACCGGTGGGGTCCGTAGGCAGGTGGGGCGGGGCCGGAGGAGGTGGTCACTGGGGTGTGCCCTGGGAGGCTTGTCCTTCCTGCAGCGCCCACCCCGGCCCTGGACCAGGAGCTGAGCATCTCCCCTCTGCTGGGCCCCCATGCTGTGCGGCTTCACTTGGGCCCAGAGCCATGGACTCGGCCATCTCTGCACTGAGACCTCTGAAATCCTTAGCCCCAAGGAAGCTCTTCCTCCTCTGCGTCACTTCTGTCAGGGGCTTTGGTCACGGCGATGGAAAGTCAGCGAAAACAGCGCCCTGGCGTGGTCCTCACAGAAGGTGCTGGAGCCACCTCGGTCGGCAGGGCAGCACCCGGGGCCTGGACAGCAGGATGCTGCTTTCCCACGGTCCTCAGTCTGCAGGTCCAGGGCCGGTCAGTCGGCTCCTCCCGAGGCCTCTCTCCTGGCTGGTGGCTGGCGGCTGGTGGCCTCCTCACTGTGTCCCGTCATGTCCTTCTGTGCAGGGCGTCCCCCGTGTCTCTCTCAGGAGAACATCAGTCGGAGCTCACCCTAACAGCCCATTTTAACGGAAAGTCACCACCTGCACGTGTGAGCACGTCCTGTGGTCCCGGGGCAGCGCCTCAACGTGTGGAGTGTGAGGAGCACCTTGCGGCCCCCAACACAGCCCGTCTCTGTCACCTGAGGTGCTCCTGAGGCTGCATCGGAAGAGGCTCTGCTGCTGGACCGTGCCCTGGGGGAAGCTGGCCGCCATTTGTGAAGAGACTCCAGCAGCCCGAGGAAGGTCCCCGAGGAAGGTCCCCGCGGAGAACTGGGAACTCCTGCCAAAGGCCGTGTGAGGGGCACAGCTCCCTGGCTAAATGACCCCCAAATTCCTGACCCTCCCAAACCATACAGTACACGGGGTTTTATTTGTTTGCTTTAGGCTGCTGAGTTTCAGGATAATTTGTTAAACAACCGTCGATAAGTAATGGACACTACGTTAATTTTACATCGAAAGACAAAGCTAACAGAACGCTCGCCGAGAGGCGGGGGAAGGCCGGATGTGCGCAATTTGTTTTAAAGTGTAATAAGACGGGTCAGTGAATGAACAGAAGGGTGGACACATACGAAATAAACGGGGTGGCCAGTGTCAAGGGCGGCCGGGGGAGGGTCTCTGTGAACCTCTTTTTACTTTGTTGTTGTTTGGACATTTTCTTTTCACAGTGTTGGGGGAATGGCTGCTACTTTCTTAGCCAGGGCGGCAGGAACACGGGCGCTTCATGATGATGAAGCCGCAGAAACCGTTTTACCTCCTCTGGAACATTCCACAAGGATAATGGCTACATCCATGGTGGAGGAAGGAGGCCGGGGAGGGTCCTGAGCAAGACCAGGGGAGGAGGTAGAGCCGCCTGGAGGCCTGGAGGGGGTCTGTGGCTGGGCCAGAGAGGACAGAGAGGGGACCTGGACTCCAGGGGCTGCTCAGTGGACAGTGACAGACAGCAGTCTCCTCCCCAAATGCCCCAGCCTCAGGGGCTGGGTGAGGGGAGGAAGCCCTGAGGCTGCGCGTGTCCCAAGTCCCCAGGCCCTGAGAGGCCTTCAATGTCATGAAAAGCATTGAGCTCACTGGACTTCCCTGGAAAAGTCATTTCCCCTCAGTAAACTCAGCCTCTTCTCTGATAAATGGTGGATTTCTGCCAGCTCCGGGGGCTGTAGTGGGCAGGGGGACTTCAGGCCAGTGTTTCTGCCCATCTGAATTAAAGGGAGTCATTTCAGATTCTGCGACACACACACAGATGCACACACAGACGCACACGCAGCACGGGGCCTGCCATGTGGACGGGGGCTTGGCGCACGGTCCAGGGACACCTGGCAGCACATCAGCAGACACGTCCCTTTATCTGTCCCCTGACTTTGTTTATCTTGATTTAAAAAAAAATGACATGCTCTATTTTTAGAATCAGAGAAAATAAGCCAAAGACATAAGACACATCCTCACGGCCATACCTCCGCCCCGGGTCCTCCCGGAGGCCCGCTGCCTACCTTGCTTGAGGAGGGGGGACTTGTGGCTGCTGTCCACCACGAAGGAGAACATCTTTCCGCTGGCGCTCACGGGCCGTTGGTGGGCGGCGGGTGGGACTACGGAGGGCCTGGGGAAGCCCTGGGACCAGCTTCTCTGCAGGGGCACTGGCCGGATGCCCTGGTAGAAAACGTTGAGCGGTGGCGAAGGCGACGGGATCGGCTGCTGGGAGATCCGGGACGGCTGTGGCCTCGGCCAGGCTGCTGGGCCCCTCACCCAGGGGAAGGAGACCTGTGGGCAGACAGGGGCGTCAGGGCAGCTGTGATCCGCTGCCGTGGCCTGCACCCCTCCGTCCCAGCCACGTCATCGCTGCCCCGGGCCTCGGCTGGTGAGTCACGACCCTCAGGAAGCCTCCTGGACTCTCCTCGGGGTGATGGCCACCTGTGGGCCACGGGGCATGCCCCCCACACACGGGGGTGTTCATTATGTCAGGACCCTGCCGAGACGGCACCTGCAGGATGGCCCCGGGGTCGGGCAAGGCCAGGTGGGTCAGTGTGGGACTGAGCTGCTGAGCTGGTGGCCTGTCCCCTCTGCAGGGCAGGGGCCTTCTGTCTAGCTTGCTCACCACGGTATTCCCAGCACCTAGAACGGACACCAGCACGTGTGTCCTCCACAGTGGCTGAAAGAAGAGTGACCAGGCCGCCGAGGCCCAAGCCTGGCTCCTGGTTGAGACATTTCCTGGCCAGAGGGATTGGTTCGGGGGTGGGGCATGTGATCCAATCAGAGCCAAGGACCCCCAGGGGACCCAGGCTGGACACCAGGTTTTTAATTGTGAAGACCACACAGCATGATTTTTACCATTTTGAACAGTTTAACTGTAGAGTTGAGTAGTGATAAGTGTATTCAAATTGTCGTGAGCAGCATCTCCAGAATTCTTCCCTCTTACCAAAGTGAAACTCTCTTCCCATCAATACCTCCAACCCCTCCCCAGGCCCCGGCAACTGCCTTTCTCTCTTCGGTCCCATCACTAGGCATGTGAGTACTCTGGGTACCTCACATGAGTGGGCTCAGACAGTATTTGTCTTCTTGTGACTGGCTTATTCTCTTAGCATCACGTCCTCAAGGGTTATCCCTGCTGTAGCATGTGTGGAATCTTTTTCCTTTTCAAGGCCGAATACTATTCCGGTGAATGGCCAGACTACATTTTGCCTGTTCGTTCTCAAGTGATGGTCACTTGAGCTGCTTGTAACTTTGGCTGCTGTGAACAGGGCTGAGCAAATGCAGAAACTGGTTGTGAGCCCTCTCTGGGGTCTGACCCTGAACTGCTCAGTATGAGAGGCTGGTTGGAGTGGGTCTCTCTTGCTACACAGGTAACAGGGTCTCGCTTTAGAGGGAGATGCAGGTATATAAATGCAGCAGTGACCGCAACAGACTCTTTAGGTGTAAAATTAAAAAATAGTGTTTTTCCCCCTGAAGTTCATTGATTTAGGGTGGCCTCGGCTGGAAGGCGGAGGTTGGTCTCTGCTGAGCAGCTCAGGTCCATCAGGCAAGGTCAGGTTTTAGCTGCTGGGAACTGCAAGGAGACGGGCAGCAGAAAAACAAACCCAAGGAAAGACCACATGAAGAGGAAGCTCCTGGCCACGCTCACATAGAGTCTGCATGGAGCCTGGGCCAAGGTCATGGAGCCTGGGGTCAAGGTCATAGAGCCTGGGGCCAAGGTCATGGAGCCTGGGGTCAAGGTCAGTTACCAACAAGGCTGGATTTAGAAACTTTACATTAAAAATACGTGTTAATGCTTCCCTCCCCGCCCCTTCCTCCCAGTCTGGACTAGTTCTGGGTCTGAGGCAGCTCATAGTCCTGAGCTTTTCCATGTCTGTCCCAGCAGGGCCACTGGAGGCACCTGGGCCGCGCCCACCCCGCGATGCTCAAGAAGCCGCACCCGTTTCCCCCACTGTGCACCCTTCCCCATGTCACCACGCAGGACCCAGGCCTTCCGCCAGGAGGCCGAGGCTGTGGACCAGGGAGGGCGGCCTGTCCTCCAGCGCCTGTCATGTTCCAAGCTGTTTGCAACCACTGCCGCGGGGACGGCGACGGCCCCACAGAGACGGGGATGGTGGCGCCCTAACACGCGTGGTCTCGTCAGAATGACCCTTGGGAGCCGGAGGCTTTGCACCCCACCCCGGGGCCGAGGATATGCAGCTCCGCGGGTTGGCGACTCCCTGGAGCATGGCAGCCAGGAGGTGGGGCCTGCTTGACCCCAGCCCTGCTCTTAGAGCATTGGGGTTATCTGAAGTCACGGTGGGCACCTGCCGGCCACACTGCAAAAGGCTCTTGGGTGGCTGGTAACGGAGAGCAGACGTTCCAAGTTAAAAAAAAATGAAAGTGTCGAGTAGACGGTGGGAAAACCCGCAGGCCAGTGCCCTGACAGGTTCCCAGGAGGCTGGCGGCTCCCTCCGGGTGCTCCTCCAGGTCCACGCAGCCTTCTGTAAACTGCTGTGAGGACGGCGGCCTCCACCCAGCAGGGCCTGTGACAGTGTCACTGCTGTGCCCGAGCAGCGCTGGGCCCAGCCTGTGCTGCCTCACCAGAGCCACCGTGCGGCGTTCAGAACATCGGGGCTGGTTGATAAACTCGGCCACGAATGAAAATCAGATCATGTATGTTGCAATTACAGGACAGTGACAAACAGGTGGCACCCAGCCTTCCTCACCATTCTGCCACACTCCTTATCACCCACGCCCTTGACTTTGCCTGTCAACGTTGAAAACACGACACAACCAGGCTCCTTCCAGCCCCGCGGGTGACATATAACCAGAAACTGGCCACCGCGGGAAGCTCACACCTTACAAGCCAGACAGAGTCACAGATCGGGGCTTGATCACTCGCACCAAAGAAGTGGGCGGGGAAGACGGGAAGACAGAGCCATGTGTCGCAGCCCGACCATGAGGAACAGCGCCAACACCGAGGCCGACACCGAAGCTCCTCATCTGACGCAGCAGAGTCTCTCCTGTCCCCAAGGGACACGTGAGGTCCCAACACGCCCCTTCTCGGTTCACTTTTGTCTCCCTCATAAGCGTGAGCAAACATACCCCAACCATTAATGCTTTCAGTGGTCACCCTGCGCTGGCAATGGTTCAGCAAAGACCCAGAGAAACGTCCTGTGAGAACTGCCGGCTGCGTGGAGAGTGGCGTGAGGTAGGACTGTAAAGAGTGCACTGTGCGGCATCTATAGCAGCGAACTTTTATCAGAAATTCTATATTTTCCACCTTTTCTATTGGTGCATTATAGTTGTGCATATCGAGGGGATCTGTTGTCACGTATTTGCACGATAAAGATAGTTGGCCAACATCACTCTCAGCCCTCCCCTGCCCACCCCTTGGTCGCTTTCCTCTCCTGGTCTCCCTTGATTTTCATGACCCACCCCACCTTCCTTTTCCGTTTTCCTCTCTAGCCTCTGCATATGCAGGGAAACATGACCCTCCACCTGCTGAGCTCGACTCAGAAATTCATTTTCTTTATGGATGATACAGCTCCACGGTGGGTACGGGCTGTGGAGCACCACCGGGATGCTGCTTGAGTGGCCTTGTACTGAGCCGGGGGGTGTGGGGGACTCACTTCTCCCCTTGGGAACGATCCCGGCATTCCCGTGTATAGACTGCCCAAGGCGTGGGGTCTCTTCCTCTCTGCCCACAGGACAGCTCTCCTGGCTCCGGAGTTGGGCGTGACCCACTGGGACAGTTAGCCCAGCCCCTACCTTATTTGGTAAAGAACATCCTTGGAAAGCCCTTGAAGTCCCCGTGTGGAGTCGGAGCCAAGCGTGGCTCTTGCTCCCCTCCTTTCAGGGTGGAAGCTCCACCCTGAAGTCGTGGAGCAGTCCCGCCCTCGCTTTTCAAAATTATTTTCTGTGTCGTGTGGTTTTTTTGCCGCCTTTTTTCTTAGCTGAACTTCACAGCCAGCCCACTCCACGCACAGGAACCCCAGATTCCATTGCCCACGCGGGACCTGAGCGAGAATGTACCACGTTCTTGACCCATTTGTCCGCTGATGGAGCCCAGGGCTGGCTCATGGTTTGGCTGCTGTGAACATGGGCTGCAGGGATCACTGTGCTGCGTGGCTTCGGTTCCTGTGGATAAACACCGAGGAGCCGCGTGGCTGGGTGGCGTGTGGCCCCTGGCCAGCCTCTGGGGAACCTCCACACTCATGTCCGTGGTGGCTGTGCTGACTCACGGTCCCCACCGAGCAGCAGACCTTTGCTCTTTACGACACCTCACTTTTCAGAGAGCTGTTGGTCACACATTTGCCAGCAGATGGCTGAGCACCCAGCTCCGTGCCTGCTACACACTACAGGTGTTCACTGACCCAACTGGACCAGCCATGGGCAGACAGAGCGTAAGGGAAATGTCCTTCAGCTGATTCTGGGCGAGAACAGGGGAAATACACCATGATGCAGAAATTAAGGAAATGCTAAAGTAAAAAAAAAAGTGGGCAGACGACAGTGACCCCAGGCCCACCCACCACGCGTGGTAGAGTGATCACAGCTCACCGCGTGGAGGAGAGCTACTGTGCTGCGGCCCCATACCAACACGTGGGTGGGGTGGCTTTCCCAGCCGGCTTCCATCTAGTGACAACAGCCAGGACCTACAAGACCATCTTCCAGGTCCCTGCAGGCAAGGTATCGGTGACCTGCAGGGACACTACAAGATTATACGGTAGAAACTGTAATACCTCGAATCCACACTGTGAGACAGGAAGACACACAGACGACATGAAGAAACGGGAAGAAAGTGCCTGAAACAAGCCACGCTGATACAATGGTAGATCCACTGACAGCACAGGAGCTGGAATGTCAGGGAAGGAGAGCAGAAGGTACATGATTAAAATGATGTGCGAAGCCAAGAATGAATTGAGAGAGCAAGTACAGGCCACAATGAGATGAGAGAGGACATACAGGTAGCAAAAGATTACTTCAAGAAAGAGAGAGACGCTGGAAAAAAACCCAAACAAACAAATCCTTGAAATGAAGGAAACAATAAACCAAATAAAAAATTCAATAGAAAGCATCAAGAACAGACTAGATCACTTGGAAGACAGAACGTCAGGCAATGGAGACAAAATATGTATCTTGAAAACAAAGTTGGCCACACAGTGAAGATGGTCAGAAACCATGAACAGAACCTCCAAAGAATTACGGGATGATATGACAAGACCAAATTAAGAATTATTGGGATAAAGATAGGCACAGAGATACAAACCAAAGAAATGCACAATTTCTTCAATGAAATGATATCAGAA